CGTGTTGCTCGCAGAGCAGAAGCCATCTCCACAAGTAGTCCGCAAGAAGTCCTTCTGGCTCGTCGTGCACGGAAAGATGCGGTCTATGGCTGAGCAGAGCAAGACGTCTGCCAAGGTCAAGGCAGCCTTGAACCAACACTTGCTGCTAGATGGGGTTAGTTGTTCTGCTGTTAATTTTTTTAAGGTTTTTGTTATTTTACCTGCAATAGATTTTTGGGTTTCTATCTCGCATTAAGATTCGTGTTTGTTTACATCCAACTTACAGTTACACTCTGTGCACCAAAATAATTTAGAACATTTTTTTCCCTACATTTATGATTTTTTTTACTTGCTTGTTTCTTATTTTTGGTTATTTCATTTAAAACGGGCTATATCCTCTCCACGGAGGAGGTTGTTACATGCGCGATCTCACCGGATCAATGACTGACCGTGCCATCCCACGATCCGATCTTCGCTCGATCTCTTCTAAAATAGTGCAACTAATAATGAAAACATGCAACAAAAGAATCCAAAGCTACGATGCTGTTACAAAATAGTGCAACTAATAATGAAAACACGCAACTCACTTAAGATAAATTCCTTGGCACAAAGATTATCCAATCAACTCTTCCCCACCCCCCAATCTTGATGTGTCTACTCCAAACCCATCTTCTTCCGAAGCTCCAGAAAGCAAACTCGTCCAACAGGTTTAGTCAACATGTCTGCAAGTTGATCCTCAGAACGTACATACTCCACAGCAATTTGTTTCTTCTCCACACACTCCCTACTAAAATGATATCGGGTGTCAATGTGTTTGCTCTGATCGTGCAGTACCGGGTTCTTGCAGAGATTGATTGCAGACTTATTATCAATCTTCATCACAGTTTGGTTAGGTTCTCCTCCAAGCAGTTCAGCCAGCAGTACCTTTTGTTTTTGAGAAAGCCACTACCTTTTTGTTTTTGAGACTGCCAACTGATCAAGCTTTCTCCCAACTTGTTCAACACTCCGGTAGTGCTTTTCCTATCATCCATGTCCCCAGCCATGTCACTGTCACTGAACCCAACGTGGTGAGCAGCAGATGACATGTCGCTAAGCCAGAGCTAATATCACCGAACGTGGTGACTGTCGCTTAGCGACTCGCTCGCATCCTTTTCTTCCGCTTTTCTTTCCCCCACCGCCGCGATCTCCTTCCCCGTCTATCCGGATCGTCTCGATCTCCTCGGCGTCGTCGGCTAGCCGATAATCCCCTCCGTCTCTCGCCTGCTACCGTCGTCGCCGCGCGCCTCCCCCCTGGCTACGGGCGCCGTTGGTGACGGCGGCGACGGCTGGGTCTGCTAAGGCAAGCACGAGGCGTGTTCCCCTCTACCTCCCTCCTGGCCAGGGGCACTGGGCGTGTAGAAGGAGATTTGGATCAACCGTAACTTTCATTGATCAATGGAGCTTACATTTATACATGTACAACAAGGCTTGGGAGTTGCCTGGGCCTAACTAATCCCCTGGTCTAACGGACGTGCAGCGGTGCGAGCGGAGCGAGGAGCGCTGCGCGTCATGCGCGGGGTGCGCGTCGTGCGCGTGGAGCGCGCCGCGAGAGTCTGACGAAGCCGTTCGCCAACACCCCCCCGCAGTCGCAGCCGTCGTATCACCGACGCAGAGACTGGCTCGGAACTCGTTGAACATGCTTGAAGGAAGCCCTTTTGTGAACACATCCGCGAACTGATGGGCACTCGATATCGGTAGGACGCGAAGTTCACCGAGCGCGACCTTCTCCCTGACGAAGTGGATGTCGAGCTCGATGTGTTTGATCCGCTTGTGGTGCACCGGATTCTTGGACATGTAGACGCTGGAGATGTTGTCACAGTAAGCGATCGTCGCCTGTGGAACGCGGCAGTGGAGTTCACCGAGCAGCTGGCGCAACCAAGTGCACTCCGCCACCGCGTTCGCCACACCTCTGTACTCGGCTTCCGCACTTGACCTCGAGACGGTCGTCTGCCGCTTGGACGACCAGGAGATGAGGGAGTCGCCGAGGAAGATGCAAAAGCCGGACGTGGAACGCCGGGTGTCGGGGCAGCCGGCCCAATCTGCGTCGCTGAAGGCGGTGAGCGTCGGCGACGTCGAGGCGCGAAGGTGTAAGCCAAACGCGGCCGTTCCCTTGATGTAGCGCAGGATCCGCTTCAGCAGGGTGACGTGAGCTTCGCGCGGAGCATGCATGTGCAAGCACACCTGCTGGACGGCGTAGGCGATGTCGGGCCGCGTCAAGGTCAGGTACTGGAGAGCGCCGGTAATGCTGCGGTACCAGGAGGAGTCCTGGAAGAGAGGCCCCTCGTCGCTTGACAGCTTGGGTTTAGCGTCCGCCGGAGTGGCCACGGCCTTGCAGTTCGCCATGCCTGCACGTTCGAGGACATTGGTGGCGTACTTGGACTGGCTGAGGACGAACCCGTCGGCAGTGCGCTGAACTTCGATGCCGAGGAAGTACTTCAGGGGCCCCATGTCCTTGACCTTGAACTCCGCTTGAAGGCGATCGATGATGCGCTGCAGCAAGCTCGACGAGGACGCGGAGAGGATCATGTCGTCGACGTAGAGGAGGAGGTAGGCCGTGTCGGAGCCGCGGCGCAGCACGAACAGGGAGGGGTCGGCGCGGGACTGGACGAAGCCGAGGCTGGTCACATGATCGGCGAAGCGCTTGAACCAAGCGCGCGGGGCTTGACGAAGACCGTACAGCGAGCGGGAGAGGAGGCACACGTCCGCCGGGCGAGCAGCATCCTCAAAGCCTGTGGGCTGCTGGCACAGGACACGTTCCTGAAGATGGCCGTGCAGGAACGCGTTTGAAACGTCCAGTTGATGCACCGGCCATTGCTTGGAGGAAATCAGCGTCAGCACGGTGCGAATGGTCGCTGGTTTGACGACGGGCGAGAATGTCTCGCCAAAGTCGACGCCCGGGCACTGGTTAAACCCGCGAACCACCCAACGTGCCTTGTACTTGTCGAGTGAGCCGTCAGCATGAAGCTTGGTCTTGAAGACCCACTTGCCGGGATGCTCCGCCAGCAGCAGGTAGGAGCGCGCGGTCATGAAAGTGTGCGGCGGATTCCGGTCGGCGATGCTGGCACGGAGGGAGCGGAACTTGGTGTTGAGGCCGCGCAGGAGGTTGAGCACCTGGCTGGGCTCAGACACGGGCATGTTGATGTCGCGGAGGCCGTCGGCGAGTTGCTTCAGCTTGGCGGTGTACTGCGTGATGGTCATGTCACCTTGATTGATCGAGCGGAACTCGGTCTCAAGGTAGACAGACCGTTGGACGGCGTTGTCGCGGAAGACGCCTTCGATGTCGCTCCACACGGTGAAGGCAGAGGCGCGGGGCTTGTAGACGACGTCGAAGATGTTCTTGGCGATGGAGTTGTGCAGCCAATTGACCACGCAGTGATCCGCACGGCGCCACTCGGCAGTGCGGAGGTCGAGAGCGGGCGGCTCCTGAACATGGGCCTCAAGGCCGAACTTGCCGAGGACCGATTCGAAGCTGCAGCGCCACTGGCTGTAGTTGGAGACGTCGAGATCGAGGGCGACCGGGACGTGGGAGCGGATGTTGACGGTTTGAAGAACAGAGGTGGAGGGCGCCGGCACAGGCTCTTCGTCAGAGGTGGACGAGGCGTCGGAAGCGCCGGAGCTGTGCGACATGGCTAGCAAGGGAGAGGTAGCGGAAGACTAGGATCAGAGGGTCACTGATACCATGTAGAAGGAGATTTGGATCAACCGTAACTTTCATTGATCAATGGAGCTTACATTTATACATGTACAACAAGGCTTGGGAGTTGCCTGGGCCTAACTAATCCCCTGGTCTAACGGACGTGCAGCGGTGCGAGCGGAGCGAGGAGCGCTGCGCGTCGTGCGCGGGGTGCGCGTCGTGCGCGTGGAGCGCGCCGCGAGAGTCTGACGAAGCCGTTCGCCAACAGGGCGCCTTCGGTGAATTGATGAACAGGCATCTTGGACATTAGGAAGATCGCAAATCGAAGCGGATTCGATCGGTGCAACGGTCTTGGACCGAAACATATAATTAATGATGATCGATCCGTGTCCTCTCCAACTCGATCTCCAATGGATGCGTCGTCTGCGGGCGGCGGCAGTAGCCTCCGGCGCGTGGTGAAGCCGCAGCAACGATACATGCCCACTCCACAAGAGGCGCTCCACAACAGGTCGCGCCTCCTCTCCAACATCCAAGCCTTGTACACGGACACCTGCGCCCGCCTCGCCGTCGACCACTCCGCCGGCTTCTGCTGCGTCGTCCTCCTCGATCCGAGCTCCAACATCCTCGTCAACGCCGTCCTTTCTGTCTCCGACGAGGTTGCGGCCGTGGTGGACGACGCCGAGCTCGCGCGGTGATCCCTCGACGGCCTCGTCGCCTTCCTGCTCTACTTCTTCCCCTACCTCGCCGACTGGGATGCCGTGCGCTACCTGCTGCTTGCTGACGCCGACCTCCTCGTCGCCGCGCGCCTCGTCGTCGCGTCGCGCGGCATGATGGCCTTCTCCATCACCTCCGCTGCGTCGGCGAAGGCGTTCCAGCCGGCGCTCAGGCTCGCCGCGCAGGTCGCCGGCCACCCTCAGCCCGAACGCCTCGTCCATGTCTGGATGTCGCTGTCGTCACGTCTCCATCAGGAGGTCACCGTGCTCTCGGCGGAGCCGACCAACCTCCAAGGCGTTCAAACATTGCTCGCCGCCGACGAGGAGCCGCCACCCGCGCCGGACCTGGAGCAGAGTTGGAGCCTTGCGGCGTCGCGACAAGCTTACCACAACATCACCGCAGCGCCATGCCACCACACGTCCGGAAAGTCTTTTTAGCACCTAGGCTGCATGCCACAGGATGGCATCAAGATTCGCGCGCACATCTACCGTATCAATTAGTATCTGAAGAGGTGGGCATCGTATTTCCTTTTTTTTTTTACCCACGAGAAATACAATGATGGGCCCACCAGCAGATGCGCGGGGGAGGAAGGCTGGGAGAGGGACCATCACCTCATCACCTGGGTATACGACGCCTCGCTATTCTCGTCACACATTCGTTTTCCATCCTCTCGCGCTGGTCTCAGCCCCATCTACACAGCATCGCCGCCGCCGCCGCATCCCCTTTGCATCTCCTTCGCCGGAAGCGGTGCTCCGTCGAGGCTCGCCGACGCTCCGGCCAAAGCCCTCCATCATCTCCTTCCACACGCTCCAGTGCATCCCGGACCCTCCCACGCTCGGCTCCTAAGTTCTTCAAGAATTACTTCGACATCGTGCGACGGAACAACGAACACCTCCACGACTTCCTCTGCTCCGTGCAGGGCCTCCACGCCGTCCTCATCAACACAACGTGCGGCCATGCCCTTGAAGCCGTGAGGAAGCTGGGAGTCCTTGTCATGGAGTTCTACCCGTCTGACGTCGGCGCCCTCGCCATGACCCTCCAGGTTCCTTTGCTTGTTGCTGGTAACAGCTTTGGAACTCGGTGCTCATGGAGGTCATGGGCGTCGGCGTGGAGATGGAGGGATGGCTGGAAGAGCTTGTCATGGCCAACGAGGTGGAGGCGAAGGTGAGGTTGGCCATGGAGTCCGAGCAAGGAAAGAAGCTCAGAGACCACGTCGAGGCGCGCAGGGAAGCCACGGCCATGACCTGGAAGGACGGTGGCCTTCGGCGTCGCACAGAGTGTGTTTCGCCACAGCCGAGTCCGCGTCGACACCGACAACGCTCGCCTCACCCGACCGCGTCGCGTCACCCGCACGGAGTTTGGCTTCCCCCGCTTGACGCGGCCCGCAATTCCCGCAGCGACATGTCTCGTGGGCGCAGTTGCCGAGTTACCAATTGCCGCTCAGGAAGCCGAGCACCGGCGACGCCGCCGGAGTCCGCCGCAGCGGTCACAGCACCGCGGCGCTATCTCTCGACGATGACGCGTCCACCACCTTCCCCGACGGCACCAGCAGCGGCACACTTATCGCCTCCTCCCGCTGGGACTTCGAGGTGAGCCCTCCACCTCCTTCAAAGGCGACCACCATTTCGGAAACTCAATCATCTAACAAAATCTTTGCAATGCAGCAGCGCGCTGCCCCGACGAGCTCCGGACTTACCGCGGCCTGCTCGAGCGTTGCGGCAAGTTGCTGAGCAGCATCCAGGCGTTCACAGCTGGCGACGACCAGCAGCCGTGCCAGATGTCCGTGCTTGACGCGGCGGCATTCCTCGCCGACGAGGACTCGCTGTCGTCGTCGAGGTCAAAGCGCACCATCTTCACGCCCGCCCTGACGAGCTCCGGACTGACCGCGGCCTGCTCGAGCGCTGAGGCAAGCTGTTGAGAAGCATCCAGGCATTCACGCCCAGCGACGACCAGTAGCCGGTGTTCGTGCTCGACGCGGCGGCGTTCCTCGCCGACGAGGACTCTCGGTCGTGGTCGGATTCAAAGCGCGCCATCTTCGCGCCCGTCCCGATGAGCTCTTCGGCAAGCTGCTAAGCAGCATCCTTCCCCTGCCCAAACACTACGATTTTTATATGTGCTGTGAGCGGACACCGGCGAGCCGAGACGAAGAAACAACACGAGCTTCTTGGGGTCCTTCTCCATCCGTTCATTGGCGGACGCCGAGACGAGGCAGGAGCACGCATTAACTCCAGGGCTTTTAAAGTTTCAATTCTTTTTAGCAATAGTGGTGAATAAATTTGCCCATTGTTGCTTGTTTTTCCCCTACACTTTGCCGGGCGAAAGAAAGAAACCTACAACACAATTGTTTTTGCACATTCTGATTACTGAGATTTTGTTTCAAAATTATTGATTATAATTAAGACCAAGCGAGCCAATTTTTGGGATGACGAAAATTGATTCGAACTTAAACAAAATCTTTTTTGTTCATCTAGTTCTAGCAAAACAATAATCCGAATACAAATAGATAAAAGAACATCTCAGATCTACTCTCTTTGTTCTTTCCTCTTTCTCTCTTCTCTCTATGGAAGAACTCTCTCTCTCTCTCTCTCTCTCTCTATCTGAGGCTCTTAGCGGATCATGAGCAGAAGCAGATCACCCTTCCTACCTTCAATCACACCATATCACATTATCACTCACAGAGGACAAAAAGTAGCAAAAAAAAAAAAAGACAGTGCAAACATTTGTTTTTCGAAAAATCAATTAGTTTGCAGGAAGAGCCTGGAACCTTTCCCTTTGTCTTTCCAATTGTTTGAATCTCTACAAACGCCCGCCTAGGTGTTTCGCCACACTCCGACCATCCTCGACCACCATCTGCACTAGCAAGAATCCAAGCCCACTAGCAACAGCGAGCAACACTTCCTTCATCTCAGCCCGAAACTCCTCCAGTTCAACGGCGCCACTGCCATCACGGTCGAACCACGCAAACAGGCCGCGGTACAGCTTCACGAGCTCGTCGGCGCTCATGACGGCCTCGTCGTCGCCGAAGTGCTTGTCCAGCATACGAAGGCTCATCAGCTCGTTGGCCATCTCGACGTAGGAGAGCAGGACGTCGCGGACTCGCTGTTAGTGTCAAGCGCTGCAAAGCGGCCGTCGATGGAGGAGTTGAAGGCGCCCTCATCCTCCACGAAGCTCTGGACCGTCTTGCCGTGGAGGATCTCCACACTCATGATGGCGATGAGGATCTCCACCCAATTCCATCTGCCGCCGCCGGTGTACAATCAGTGTGCGGCGTATACGCCATCGCCGCCGTGGACAAAACGTCCGCCGCCGCCGGTGTCCAATCAGAGTGCGGTGTGGACAAAACGGAGTGTGGCATCGACTCCTTCGTCGCCGGCGTCGACGACATCGCCGCGGGGGAGAAAGAACAGCGACGAGATGGTGGGGGGAGGGGGAGGGGGGGCGAGACGGAAAGGTGACGTCGAACGCGCTGGCGAGATGTGTGGTTGGGAACAATTCGGGAGGGTAAAGGGGGTATGAAACATTCAGCTTTCCCCAACCCTACGGGGGCCCACCACATTGCAAAAGCAGTAGGGAGTACCTATACATCTTTCGAAAGATTTTTATGATCGTATCACACAGATTTTTAATCTTTGGATTAAAATCCGATATATATAATAAAAAGCAAAAAGCAATTAAGAAACACCATAATGGACACTAAATTACCATATCCTCAAGAAAAAGACCAAATCCAATACAAAATTTAAAATTTACATGCGAAGATTCAAAAATTACAGTGTAACTTACAAAAGTTACAGTGTAAGTTTCATAAATTACACTGTAACTTACAAGAAAATATACTGTAAATTTGAGTGAGAAAATCGAGTGAGAGATAAGAAAAAATCTTTTGAGTGAGATATAGCAAAATCGAAAGCAGTATTGTATCCCCCGTATACTGAAACATGCATACGACGAGTGCAAGATAGGGATGAAAACGGATCGAATACGGTCGGAAACTAGCTATATCATATTCGTTTTCATATTTTTTTCTCGGAATCGAAATCGGAATCGGAAACCCGGATACGAAAACGGAATCGAATATTATCGAATACAGATACGGAGCCGAATACGAATCGAAACGAATACGGTAACGAATAATTATCAAAATATCAAGACCCCTCAAAATAAGTTTCTTAAATCGAGAAAGAGATGTAGCCATTAGTTTTCAAAAACAAAACATCAGTATTTTCAAATTTTATCTCTATTTATAAGGGCAAGGGGGAGATAGAAAATGTTATGTTTACTTTTCATACAAATTCATGTTATCATGAAACAGATAAATTAATGTATATCACTGAAATTTTCGCAGGCACATTAAAATTTCTGAAAATTGGATGAATATTTTAAATTTTGGGTTGAACATTTCAATTGAAAGTTTTTAAAAATTCGAGTGTTTATTTTTCAGAATTGAATTTTTTTTATTTGTTTGTATGTGGACCACTTAAGGACCCGCATGGAAAAATCAATTTTTCCATACGGGTGACTTAAGAAGCGGTATGAAAAATAAATTTGAAAATTTGAGACTAGTTTATCTCACTCATATGAACTCCAAATTGGATGATTCTTTTTTCTAAATGTTTCTAAAATCATACTCTATCATGTTATTGTGTTATTACTGCTATTATTTTGGTCATTTTTTCTTGTGACTTTGTTTTATCAACTAAAAATTTGAATTTCAAAACTTCAAATAATATTTTGAAGCTGTAATTAATTTCAGATGAAAAAGTCATGAACATAAAAGTTGTAGAGCTCATCAAGACATACAACTTTTATTTTGGTCATTTATTCATCCGATAAAGTGATAGTAACATTGTTCACAAAGTTTACATCTCTCTCTTATAGTTTATAGAACCAGATGAGATAGATGTAAATTTTGTAAACAATGATACTATCACTTTGTCGGATGAAGAAACAACCAAAATAAAAGTTATAGATCTTGATGAGTTATACAACTTTGTTGTTGATGACTTTTTCAATTGAAATCACTTAGTATTTCAAAATATTGTTTGAAGTTGTCATATTTTGAAATTCAAATTCAAACGGTTCAAACAAAGTCATATTGAAAAATGTCCAAAACAAAAGTTGTAAATGTTGATGTGTTATACAACTTTGTTGTTGACAATTTTTTCATTTGAAATCAGTTACTACCCGAATAATTATTTGAGTTTCTTAGATTTTTAAATTCAAATTTTATATAGTTTAATGAAACTCGGATGGAGAAATGACCAAAATAAAAATGGTAGATATCAATAAATTATACAACTTTGTTTTTGACAACTTTTTCATACGAGTTGATTTTAATGCCTTAAAATTCATTTTAAAGAGCCACATATAAAAAAAGTCGATTTTTACATTGAAAAAAAAATCCACCTTTTTTTCACCCCAACCTTATCTACTCTTCTGACTCTTCCTCTCCTCTCTCTCTCAGTTTCTACTCTCTCTCTCTCAGTTTCTCATCCATAGCTGACAGTAGCGCCGGGCGGCAGGCGGGCAACAGCGGCGGGCGGGCTCGCGCGGCGGGCTGCGACGGGCGGCAGCGGCGGCGGGCGGCAGCGGCGGGCGGGCTCGCGCGGCGGGCTGCGACGGGCGGCGGCGGCGGCGGGCGGGCTCGCGCGGCGGGCTCGAGCGGCCACCTCGTGGCGGGCGGCGACGGGCGGCGGCGGGCGGCGACGGGCGGCGGCGGGCGGCCTCGACTACCGCGACCTTGGGAGCGGGTGCGGCAACGGCGTCGGTGGGCGGCGACGGCAGGCGGCTGCGGCGACGGCTTCGGTGGGCGGCGACGACCGGCGGCGGGCGGCCGCAGCGGTGCGGATCTGGCGCCGGGCCACACGGCGGCCGGCGGTGGGCGCGCAGCCGGCTAGGTTCCATTTTTTTTTTTGCTAAAAGTTATTCCCGGATATCCAATGAAAAATCCCGGATAGTTTCCGACCGTTTTCCGATTCCGTCGGATATCACCCTTACTGTATTCGTTTTCATATTCGAGAAAAAAAATCCGAATTCGTTTCCGAATCCGAGAAATTCCGGATAGTTCCGACCGAATTTTTCCGAATCCGAAAATTGGTCCGGACGGATGGAAACTATCCAAACCAATTTCATCCTAGTGCAAGATACAGAATATGTCTGCCAAAAGCACTTTACATACCGCACGAATCACTAAATCCATCGGACGGCATGCAGCCTAGGTGCCGCAGCACCTAGTGTAGAAAAACCGCCTCCACCACACGTCGTCTCTGATGAGGGTGCTCCTCCACGCGTTCCGCGGCTTCTACCTTCGGTCGCTGGCCCGGCTGCCCGCCGGCGAGCTGCGCAACCGCTACCACCAAGTGATCGTCAAGGCCGGTCACTGCTACGGGCCCATGGACCCAGTCTCCAACATCATCCTCAACACTGTCTGGTACGACGCCGCGTTCCCGGCGGCAGCCCCGCCACCAGTGCTCGACATGATCGGCCCGCACATCCTCACCCGCATTGAGAGTCGATCCATGTACGGCCTCATCTCCTTCCTGCAGAGCCGGTACCATCACCTCTCCGAGCACGAGATCGTGCAGTGCCTGGTTGCCTGCCGCGGCGACCTGCCCCTCGCCGCCGACGAAGCCATGGTGATCAAGGCGGGGCAACAGAGCCCGTGCGCCGGCTTGCAAGAAGCCTACGAGGCGGCGGCGACTGCGGCGTGGCACCCCAACCCTACGGCGCAAGCGGCGTTCCTCACCTCCTGCAAGGCGAAGCTGCAGGAATCACCGGCTGCCATGTTGTTGCTGCAGCAGGGTGGAGACCGCGTTCTCTCGCCGGAGGATGTCCGGTACCTCGCCGGCGTGTTGCTAGCTGAGCAGAAGCCATCTCCGCAAGAAATCCACATGGCCGGTGTCCGATGGCAAGATGCGCTCCATGGCCACACAAAGGAGGATCTCTAGGAATGTCAAAGCTACCCTGAACCAACACTTTCTGCGAGATGGGGTTCGTTTTGCTTCTATTCATCATATATACACAATTTATGATATACTGCCAATGCAATTTGCTCATTATCGTAACTTTATTTTGTAGAAACCTACGTACAGCCTTCTTGTGATTTGTGGCGCGAACGATTCGGTGTGCGGTCCAGAGTATTATTGCTCCAAGCAGGAAGATTACCTTTCCTTTGCACCTTGCGAGTATAAATACACGCATGTCAACTTCTTGGCCACGGAGAAGACGGATTGCTCACCATCTTCCCCGGTGCTCTTTTTCGCCGAGTTTGACAATAAGAAGGCTGAGGGTGAACCGGCTATCATGTGTTGCAAGGTGGACATGCCATTGCCATTTGCTGGTAAGCTGCTTGATCTGTTATATATGTTGAAAAATGCAGCATT